TGGGCATGCGGGAGAAGACCGTGGCAACAGGTGGCTCTGGGGGGTGAAAGCAAGGGGGTGAGGGGAGCCCTGGTGGGGCACTGCTTGGCCCCAGTGTGTGTGGGGCTTTGGGGTGGCCATGCCAGGGTCAGGGTGGTCTTACCTTGTCTCTCCAGATCAGTCCTCCCATACCTGCAGAGGGTGAGGATGTAGCTTTGGCAGAAAATGGAGAGGAGGTGCTCCATGAGCGCTGTGATGGCCTTCTTGCTGGTGAGGGACTTGCTGACAAGCTCAGCTAGTGGGGATGGCTGCTGGGGCTCCCAGCGCTGCCTCTCCATCTCAAAAGCTATGAGGTCTCTGCCACCCTCTCCGACATCCATGAAGCCCCAGCTTGTCCTATTGGGGTGCAGCACACAGCCCGCACGGATCTGGACCACCAATGGATCTGCCAAGGGCAGAGCCGGTGAAGAAGTCCTATGAGTGTATGGGACATGGGTGGCGTGAGGTGGGATGTGGCTGGAGGTGCATGCAGGGGTGTAATGGGCAGTGGGGTGCAATGGGCATCAGGGCATGGGACCGTGCTTCAGGAAGCCCTGGGACACCCCGCAAGCCTTCAGTCTCCTTGGAAGACTGGAGTGAATATGAGGCCAGTTAGCATGGGGTGGTTGCTCAAACAGAATCTTGTCCCCCAAAATATTTGCCCCTAACTTTCTCTTTCCCTGATCTATGCTGTGTGGATCCTGCAGCCCCGGTAAATTTGGTGGCAGCTCTCCAGTGTGCAGAGGGGTTCCCCCATGCCAGATGGCAGGAGCCCTGAGGGATGTTTTTGGTGCGCTGCCCTCCCCGCCTCTGCTAGGCATGTGCCCCAGAAGCCGCAGCATTTCCCATTACCCTTTCAGGAGCTGTTGCACCCTATGAGACCACACAAATGCCACCCCGGTGGAGAGGAGGGCACAGCCAGAACCCAGGGAAAGGGGCTGGGGCTATGGCTGGGGCCGTGTCCATACTCACAGTTGCATTGCACCTGCTGGGCCATTTCGTGCACGTATCGGACCATATTGCGCAGAAAGAGTTTTGAGTGGGATTTAATCTTCTCTGCGTCACCCTTGGCTGTGGCCTGGCGGGCCCAGGGCCAGTGGAAGTGGATGCTCCAGTTGGCAGGATCCAGTGCAAAGATGGGCACGTCCCCCAGTAGAGCAACCCCGGACATTTCAGCAGAGCTGAAGTTGGTGATAAAACTGGTCTGAAGCAGCTGTAAAACCTGTGGCTCTGCTGGGAAAGAGGATGGGGATGGGAAGGGCTGCAGAAAGAGGAGATGAGTGGGGAGGCTGGAGGGGAAACAGGGGATTCAGACTAGATATAAGGACAAAATTTTTACAATGACAGTGGTGAAACACTGGAACAGGTTGTCCAGAGAGGTGGCAGATGCCCCATCCCTAGAAACATTCAAGGTCAGGTTGGAGAGGGCTCTGAGCAACCTGATCTAGTTGAAGATGACCCTGCTCATTTGCAGGGGGGGTTGGACTAGATGACCTTTAAAGGTCCCTTCCAATGCAAACTAGTCTATGATTCTATGATGTTCAGCCCACTCAGGGTTGCTTTCCTCTGAACTTCCTGTGCCTACACTGCTCTTTTTCCTTCTCTATTTTACTTTCAGTATGGTATTAGTCTCCCATACAGGATTTCAGGCACCTCGTACTCTTCCCTCCCCATCTCCCTTCTGCCCAGTGCCTGCTGTGCAGAGCAGATGTTGGGGGGTACCTCAGTGCTTGTTTGGGGTGATGCTTCCCCCAGAAGAAGCACCTGTGCCAGGACCTGTATCTTCCAGAGACCTGCACACAGTGCAGAGGCCATAGAGAATGGAGGAGAGGAAAGAGCATTTTGTCCAGGTTTAGGGTCTCCCGGGCATTGGGAGCTCAAGGAGACCAAACCCTGACAGGGGCAGGAGACTAGGCCAGCCCAGAGATCAATCGCGTATTCCCATGTCTGCTGCTCCCCTCCCCCGCTGAAACATGGGGTCTCATGGGGTTGTGGTGAAATGCTCTGTGCAACAGCAGCACCCAAAACACCCTCTTGCAGGTGCAGCTCCCCAACAAACAAGGGGCTGCTGGAAGGGGCCCACAGATCACATGGGGCTGAGAACCCCCCGGCACCCACAGGCTCCCTGCAGGCCTGGCTGGGGACCCCTGGCCTCAGTTCTGCTTGGGTGCCCGGGACCCTGTGCTGAAGCTGGTGAGGCATGAAGCCGTGAGCTGGAGGCAGGAACAGAGAGGGTGAGCAAGGACAGGGCACCTTTTGGTGCTGCGTGGTGGGGGGGTGGCCTTTTGGTGCTGGGGATCATCCCCCCATGGAGGGGACAGTGGCCTGGCCATGACTCCCCTGAGGAACCTGTGGGGTCTTCTGACAGGGGGGTGAGAGTGGTTGGGGTGAGCCAGGGCTCCCACTTACCCTCTGGGTCTGCCCACATCCCAGGGAGGAGGAGGGGGAGCAAGAGGAATAGGAGGAGACGAGGGGGCTGCATGGTGCACGTGGCAAGGCTGAAGCAGCAGCAGCAGTGACTGCGGGAAGAGGAAGAGCCTGTGGGGTCCCCACGCTTCAGCCCAGCCCAGCAGTCATGGCCGTGGCTCTCTGCCAATGGGACCAGTGCAGATGTGTTGGGGAGGGGCCAGAGGTCCCGAGCTGGGGGCTGGGAACGTGTGGGAGGGAGGAAAGCCAAAATAAGGTTTTGAGCATGAAGTGCCACGACAGGCTGGGGCTGGGGAGAGCCCAGTCAGGAGGAGAGGGCAGGGAAAGGGAGGCGCAGGAAATGGCATTAGGAGAAAATGGGTGCTCAGGGACCCAAGCTGGGTCTCCCTGACTTCCTTTCCCTATCAATGGTACCTCACCCCTATCCCTGTTCTTGTGGGGTGCATCAGCTTCCATGAAGGTGATGATGGCTTTTGGGTTTCAGCCCTGACTGGAGAAAGATAGTCGCTGTCCTCTCAGCCCCTGCGCAGGGAGAAGGGCTGCTTTGGGTCCCCCCCGGCACCTCCAGCTCAGGCTCCTCCTGCACCACCTGCCTAACCCTGGGAACAGGGCTCCCCAGGCAGGAGGTGATGAGTAGTTCCCTCCTGGCCCATGGCTGCAGGAACAGTGTTGGGGAGCTCCAACTCTCCTGTAAATGCCCCCAGGAGAGGGCCTGGGGCTGGACTGCAGCCTGGCATTCCCCTTTCCTTCCCACCATCTTTGGTGGGGAACTCTGTCCCCCTCCCCAAGTGCCCCCTGGGCGTGAGAACAGGAATGGTGGGGGCCATCCGCCTGCTCTGTCCCCATTGTCACCAGTGTCCAGTGCTGGAGGGACAATGGGGTGACCAGAACTGGCCTCACCCCCACAATGTCCCCTACCTACTACTTCTGCCCAGCTGTCGCCTCCCCTCACCCTGCAGTTTCTGTTCCCCTTTCCTGGGGGGAGAAGGCAGAACCGAAACCAGAGCTGAGGGGAAGTTTGAGGTGGGGCATGCCCCAGTAACCTCCAAACACTGAACCCCTTCCCTTCTGTGGAGCTGTCCCACTATCATGGTTTAACCCCAGCTGGCACCTAAGCCCCACACAGCCACTTGCTCACTCCCCCCACAGTGAAACGGGGGAGGGAAGAGTAAAAAAGAAAACTTGTGGGCTGAGATAAAGATGGTTTAATAAGTAAAGCAAAACAAAACAAGGAATTCATTCACAATTCATGGGCAGGCAGGTATTCAGCTATCTCCAGGAAAGCAGGGATCCATCACTTGTAATAGACAAACACTATTGCTCCAAACATCTTCAGCTTCCTTCTTCTTCCCCCAGCTGTATATGCTGAGCATGACATCCTATGGTCTGAAATATCCCTTGGGTCAGTTGGGGTCAGCTGTCCCAGCTGTGTCCCCTCCCGACTTCTTGTGCTCCCCCAGCCTGCTCACTGGTGGGGTGGGGTGAGGAGCAGGAAAGGCCTTGACTCTGTATAAGTACTGCTCAGCTGTAAGGAAAACATCCCTGAACTATCAACACTGTTTCCAGCACAAATCCAAAACATAGCCCCATACAAGCTACTATGAAGAAAATTAACTCTATCCCAGCCAAAACCAGCATACCCACAGAGAGCTAGGGACGCTGCGGTGGCCTGGTGGGCCCAGAAATGTATCAACTTCCCCAGCAGCTCACCTGAACATCACCAAGGGGATGTCTGGCCATGCCCCCACAATGTCCACATCCCTCCTGGCAGGGCCACCAGTGCTGGGTCCAGAGGAGAGTGTTTGGCTGGTGGAATGGCAAAGCGCAGCCATGGGGCAGCCAGTGAGGGAAAGGGCAGGGGGGCTTTTGTCCACGCAGTCCTATAAGATGGCCATTTGCCCTCGCGGTCCCCCCTAAGGTGATTGTTGGTCACTTCTTGCTGAGCAGCTGATAGGCCATTAGCTGGCCTCCGGCTTATGTGGGTGCATGTGATGTCACTGGTGGCTGAGTAGCTGATAGAAGAGGACCAGGCACCTGACTTTGCAGGTGCTCATGATGTGTTCAGCCCCCTCCGAATTTTCTCCAGATGTCTCCCACTGTTGCAATGGACCAGAAGTTCTGCTTTAGCTCTTCCTCATCTCTATTGAATGTACTTGTCCTCATGTTTTTGTTGTTTTTTTGCACTTTCTTACTTGCTGTAGCAGAAACCACAACTTCTTTCTCCTTGATACTGTCACTTCCTTTGGTCAGCAAATGACCAAAGGGGGCAGGGGGCTGGTCATCCACATAGACCGTTGGTCCTCACAGTCCCCTCACGTGACTGTTGGTCCTCACAGTCTCCTAAGGTGACCACTGGTCCTCAGAGTCACTCCCCAGGTTACCGTCAGTCCCCACAGTTCCTTCAGGTGACATTGGTTCTTGCAGTCCTCCCAGGTGACCACTGGTCCTCTCTGTTCCTCCCCAGGTGACTGTAGACTTTGCAGTTCCACCACATATGACCATTGGTCCTTGCAGTCCCCCCTCAGGTGAGGTCTGTAACCCCTCCTGAGTCCAGAGCTGTGCCTGGGTGAGTTGGGGTGGGGTAGGCAGGGCTGCAGTGCCTCGGGGTGCTGTACTGGGTGTTTGGGCACCAGCATCAGCTGGGCTGGGCTGAAACGCCTGAAAAGACCTCTAGAAATACCTGGGTGTTTGTGTGTGTTATTGTAGGATCTCTTGGGAGGTCATGCACATGACCACCTTTTCTTACCAGGTTTGGTCACTGGCTCCATCTGCTCTCCAGGTTTGGTGGGTGAGTTTCATCTGGCCACATCCTGTGAGTGCTGCAGGGTGTTTCACTCTGTTTGGGTGATGAAATGCACTGTGTGCCTTGCTGGTGCTGAGGTTGCGGGCTCCCAGCCCTGAAGTGAGCCCTGCCTGCAGCGAAAAGTTTCATCTGTGTGTCCTAGCTAGCAGGGACTGGGAAAGACTCAGCATCACTCCTCCTGCAGCGAGATCCTTGAGCCCCACAGTGTCAACAGGTGACTCTGCCTGTCAGGGAAATTCAGTCCTGCCCACCACACTGTGGTTCACAGGGTTTGGCCAGGGGAAAACCAGCCCCAGTGGAATTGTGGTGGACATGGCCACAGGCCATCTGGGTTTTCTTCTGACTCAGCTAATAGTTGGCTTGCATATGGCTGCCAGAGTCTTACGCTGTGAAACTTTGCCAGGAAGTTGTCCTGTAAAAGCAAACCTTTTGAAGCTGCACACTCAAGTGTGTAGTTGATAGGGAGCACAAACTAAATTCCTTCCTATGCCTATCTGACCTCTGTCTCTGACAGGAGATTAGATTACTTTTTCTCCTTAATTGGGAGGCTTGGGGGCACTTTACCCCCATGTGCACAGTTGCTTATTTCCATGGAATATGTAAGAATGTGTTTGTATATGCACAAATACCCTTTTACTTTTTTTTCTTGCCTTGGTGTTTACTTCAATTAGTATCAATAATTCAGTGGTGCTCCAGCTTCTACCTGCAGCTGGTCAAAAACCTCCCCAAAGCCATCCAAATCCTAAGGAAAGGCACATTCTTAGTAAAAACATGCATGTTTTAATTTCATTTTATACACATCTGCAGCTTGTACAGATTACATCAGAGTTTCAGTGTTACTTAGCACTTTGTAAAACGGTTTCTGGCCAGGTGCTGTTAGTCTGGGTGGAAGAGTTCAGTCTCAGCACAAATATTTCTGGAATATGGTTAATAAAGGCAGCTTTTAGGAAAAAATACTAGAAAGCAACAGTAGAAGGGCACAGCTTACCGCCTACTGATAAATGTGTTATTGTACCAGAACTGGGAGAAATTGCCACTGGGCATTGGGGTGCCCTGAAGAGCCTCAGTGGGTGCAAGGGGCAGTGCCACAAGGTAAGAAGTGATAGTGTGTAACAAGTGAGGAGGTCTCAGACATGCATCTTTGTCTACTTAGCAAACTGAAGCGGGTCAGGGGTCCCCCAGGTTTTCCCCTTACATCCCCAAGTCACATTGATCTCACACTCGGCAGCACCTGGAGTTTTGCCGAAGCAGAGAAAGGTAGACTCTTTGTCCCTGTGAGGGTGGTGGAAGGAAATGGGGGCTGTTGGCTCCCTTCTGGGCTAAGCTTCTTTGCTCAGGATGGAGTTCTGGGACTCTGATTCCTCCATCTGTTGGTGCTTTCTGAAATGAGAGGCGGATGGCTCATGGGTACTCCATAGAGGAGACCTTGTGGGGGTGCAGACAGCAGCTGGCAGGGTGGGAGCAGGAGCTTCACTGCTAAGTGCAGTAATCCCCTGGGGCATTTCCTCCACTCCTCTCCCACTGCTGCTCCACTGGGCAGAAGGGGCCTCACCTGTGTCTCCATACCCAAAGTGCGGCGATGACAGCCAGGGCAACAGCTGCCAGCAGCCCTGCCCCGAGCCCTGCAATCAGCACCACCTCCTCTGAGTTCCCTGAGAAAAATGAGCAGAGGCTGCCATGAGCTTTCCCAGCTTTGCTCCATCCCATGGGGCAGGGCAGCTCAGGAGCCCCATCCCAGTCCCCATGGGTGGCACCTACCCCATGGGATGAGGAGGCTGCGGGTGCCCAGGCTGCGGTGGCGCACGCGGCAAGCGTAGCTGTGCCCATCATGGGGGGCCACGGCCAGGATGCTGCGGAGCTGGTAGGTGAGGTCGGCGTTGGGCAGGATGGCGCTGATGTTGAGCGCTGGGCCTGGCGGCACCTCCTGGCCATCCTGCAGCCAGGCCACGCTGATGGGCCGTGGGTAGAAGCCAGTGACGCGGCAAACCAGCAGGAGCTGGTCTGGTTTGGGCATGCGGGAGAAGACCGTGGCAACGGGCAGCTCTGTGGGGCAAGAACCAAGGGGGTGAGGGGAGCCCTGGTGGGGCACTGCTTGGCCCCAGTGTGTGTGGTGCCTTGGGGTGGCCATGCCAGGGTCAGGGTGGTCTCACCTTGTCTCTCCAGAGCTGCCTTCCCATAGTGCAGTAACACCTCTATGTCATCAACGCAGGTATCATTGAAGAGTACTTCCACCAGCTCGGTGAAGGCGGTATAATTCTGGAGAACGGCCTGGACATACCGTGACAGGTTGGTGTCTTGGGAAAGGAGCCAGGTGGCATTGTCCATGTTGAAGCTGAGGAAGTCCTGGCCATTGTAGCCCACATAGGCAAAGGCCCGGGAGGTCCTGTTGGGGTAGACCTCACAGCCTGCCATGCATTGGGCCACGAAGGGGTCTGGAGGGGCAGAAAGGAGAGAGAGGTTGCATGGGGGCTGGGACTGCCTTCCTGTGGACGTGGTCAGCATCTCTTGTGCAGTGCCAGCACTGCTGGTCCTTCCCCACTTCCCAGATGCTGTTCAGAGAGGGAACACAGAGAAGACCGGGTACTTACAGGGCACATCCTTCTGCATGGCACCTTTATTGATCAGGTGGTTGAACTTCTGCAAATAGATCTTGATCATGTTCTCAATGGTGTCCCAGTCACCGCGGGGCAGGGCTGGGCGCACCCAGGGCTGGTAGAAGCGTATGGTCCAGGTATGCTTATCAAGAGAACCAAGCTCAATGTCTTCCAGCAGGCCCAGGCCCTCCGTGTCCACGAAGGAGTTATTTTGGAAGGTGGAGGTCTGGAGCAGCCGGATAGTGAAGCTCCCTACACAAGACAGGAGTTGACAGGGGGAGATGGAAGTGAGAGGAGAGGGCTGGGGAAAGTGGAGGGGCTGAGGGAAGGGTCCTTGGGGTTCCAGGGACCTGCAGGCCCCCATAAGCCCCCTGCATCCTTGGCAGCCCCAGCTCTCACCCCCTGCACCCACCTGGGGTGGCTGCCTCCCTGCCAGAGTGGAGGTGTGGAGCCAGGGGACGAGGAGGGGTGAGGAGGCAAGTGCCCAAGGTGGGTGGGGAGCAGGAAGCCCGTCACCCATGGGGTCCCATGGGGTCATTGGAGCAGGTACGGATGAGCCAGGGTTCCCACTTACCCTCCAGGTCTGCCTGTGTCCCAGAGAGGAGGAGGAGGTAGAGGAGAAGGTGGAGGTGGAAGAGAAGGCAGCAGGGAGGGGGCTGCATGGTGCCAGCAGCAAGGCCCCGATTGTGCAGTAGTGGGTGCAATAACAGGAGCAAGGGGCTGTGAGAGACGTGGCTGTGCACTTCTCCTCAGGGTGGCTCTGCCCGGGCAGCTCTGTTGCTGCTAGTGGCCCTGGCAGCCAATGGGGCTGGCACTGAGGTTTCAGGGAGGGCCCCAAGGTTCCCGCTTGGGGTGGGCTGGTCTGGGGGATCCTGAGTAAGGCTGTGAGTGCTGGGGGAATTTGGGTGGGAATGAGGCCATCCCACTGGCTGCAGGAAGTGTCCCTCATGGCTGTGGCAGCACCTTGGCCATCAGGGCGGTGTGGGTGACCCGACCCCTCTTTTCTACCCCCATTACAGGTGGAGGTGCCACCTGGCCAAGGGCTGTATCCACTGTCCCTGACAGGAATGTCCCTCACTACCACTTGTGCCCAGCATGTCTGGCCCTGCGTAGCACAGACGTCTCCATCCGCTCTATGCTGCCTACTTAACTGGGCAGGTTCGCCCTGACGTGGCTGTCTTTCCTGCAGGGGAGGCGAACCCTGTTCCCACAGCCTGGCCACATGCCTGGGCTTCCCATGCCCCCAGGCTCTTCACTGGCACTATGCCCCTTTGTCACCTCCTGTCTGTCCCAGAGCCAGGCCACACTGATGGCCCATGGGTAGAACCAGCAGGAGCAGAGCTGGGTGAAGTGTGCGGGTGAAGACCGTGGCCATGGATGGCTCTGGGGGGTGAGAGTGAGAAGAGCTGGTGATATCCCCTGACTCCTTGGCACTGCTGGCCTGATCCTGGGGAAGGGCTTCCCAGAGAGGAGGTCATGAGCAGTTCCAGCCTGGCCCACAGCTGTAGGGTCAGGGGTGGGTGCAGGCAGGGCTGGAGGAAGCAGCTCTTCCAGGAGCAACTCTTGGGGCGCAGGAAGTAGATGGGCTGGAGCAGCTGTAGTGTGAGAGACAGACTGTGGGACCTGGAAGGGACTGTTCCCCACTGACAGTCATCAGACTCTTGGAGTGTGGCAGCACTTGGCCAGGCAGGATCCCCAAGCTGGGACTGGGATGGGACCATGGTCCTCCCACCCCGAGGCCCATTCCAGGGGGCTGCAGTGGATGAGCAGCCTCCCCATTTCGATGGAGGTCCATCCGTGCCATGAGGCCTGGATGATGCCTCTCTGCTTCCCTGCACCCCACAGTGCTGGGGAACTCCAACTTTCCTGTAAATGCCCCCAGGAGAGGGCTGGGGGCTGGGCTGCAGCCTGGCATTCCCCTTTCCTTCCCACCATCTTTGGTGGGGAACCCTGTCCCCCTCCCCAAGTGACCCCTGGGCGTGGGAACAGGAATGGTGGGGGCCATCCGCCTGCTCTGTCCCCATTGTCACCAGTGTCCAGTGCTGGAGGGACAATGGGGTGACCAGAACTGGCCTCACCCCCACAATGTCCCCTCCCCACTGCTTCTCCCCAGCTGTCCCCTGGCACCTCCCCTCACCCTGCAGTTTCTGTTCCCCTTTTCTGGGGGTGCCCGCTTTGGGGGTGAAGGCAGAACTGAAACCACAGCCAAGGAGAAGTTTGAGGTGGGGCGCCCTGATAACCTCCAAACACAACCAGGGCTAAAGTGTCCCCTCTGCAGTGTGGCAGGGCGCCATGTGACCCCTCCAAGTGCAACTGGGGGAGGTGTCCCTGCTCCATGTCTTCATCTCATGTGTCCCCAGCTGTGGTGGGGACATGGGGAAGGCCCATATGGGCCTGCTGCAGGCTGAGCTGCAGCATCCCATGACACTGAGTCAGACATGGGGAGACAAGGACACTGAACCCCTTCCCTTCCATGGAGCTGTCCTACAGAGAAGTAGGGATGCTGCTGTGGCCTGGTGGGCCCAGAAATGTACCAACTTCCCCAGCAGCTCACCTGAACATCACCAAGGGGATGTCTGGCCATGCCCCCACAATGTCCACATCCCTCCCGGCAGGGCCACCAGTGCTGGGTCCAGAGGAGAGTGTTTGGCTGGTGGAATGGCAAAGCGCAGCCATGGGGCAGCCAGTGAGGGAAAGGGCAGGGGGGGCTTTTGTCCACGCAGTCCTATAAGATGGCCATTTGCCCTTGCGGTCCCCCCTAAGGTAATTGTTGGTCACTTCTTGCTGAGCAGCTGATAGGCCATTAGCTGGCCTCCGGCTTATGTGATGTCAGTGACACCTCTCCTCCCACTTTCCAGTCTCCACTCACCTTGTTATCATCACAGGTTACAGTTATTTCCTTTGACGTGGTGGTAGCAGCATGGGAGGTTGTACTTAGTGCACAGCCGTTTCTTTTGGCCACTCCTTATTCCTTAAACTTTTCTTCTGCTACTTCTTTCTTCTTGCTTGTTTCCTTTGCTTCAGAATGGGTTCTCCATGGTTCACAGTCCCTTTGGGGAAGTACCTTTTCTGGCATGGTCTTATTCATAGGCCACAGTCCCTTTGGGCTGCATCTGCTCTTCCGTGGAGCACGTCCTATGGCTCTGACGTTGCTATCCCTTTTTCTGGGTATTTACTTCTCTTTCCTAAATACGTTGTCACAGAAGTGCCACAAACTCCTCTTGTTCAAAGGAGGTGTGCTGACTGGACTCAGCCATCGTCAGCACAGGGCACTTCATGATCTCCTTCCTCACCAGGAAGGTGAGGTCACCCTGGTAGCCCTCCTCCTCCTTTACCAACCAAAACCTTGCCAGTTATGCCCAATAATATTCTTTACTGCAGTACAGCTATGATGGCTTGAACTGGATGACTGTTTGGCTGAGATTTTATTGGAGTTGGTGCATATTCACCATAGCAGGATAAAAGTTACATTTATGAGGGATGCAGTGCACTTCTGCCTTTCTAATTGAGCTCAAGGATGGCTTGCTGATAACAGCCGTCATTAAGAAACTGGTAAGAAACCTGGTCATAACCCTACCTCCACTTGGGAAATGCTTTTAACTGAGAATCTTGTCCTTGGCTCCCATCTGTGCTACACAGGAGCTATGTTGCAGCTCAGTCTGTGGCAAGTCTTGTATTTCCTTATTCCTGACACCAGTCCTGTCCCATTGGCTTGACTGGAAATTAATTGTCAGCTCAGGTTTGCTGGGTGATCACTGGACTCATGGCTGATGCTGGTTACAATCTCCAGACCTGATTCTTACCCTGAGTTTGCTGATGTGACTTCCTGGCTCCTTGTTTGCGATTGTCGTGGTTTAACCCCAGCCAGCAACTAAGCACCATGTGGCCACTCACTCACTCCCCTGCCCCACAGCGGGATGGGGGAGAAAATCAGTAAAAGAAGTAAAAGTCATGGGTTGAGATAAGAACGGTTTAATAGAACAGAAAAGAAGAAACTAATAATGATAATGATAACACTAATCAAATGACAACCGTAATAATAAAAGGATTGGAATGTACAAATGATGCGCAGTGCAATTGCTCACCACCCACCAACCGACACCCAGCTAGTCCCAGAGCGGCGATCCCCCGCCCCCACTCCTCTGAATTTATACACTAGATATGATGTCACATGGTATGGAATACCCCACTGGCCAGTTTGGGTCAGCTGCCCTGGCTCTGTCCTGTGCCAACTTCTTGTGCCCCTCCAGCTTTCTCGCTGGCTGGGCATGAGGAGCTGGAAAATCCTTGACTTTAGACTAAACACTACTTAGCAACAACTGAAAACATCAGTGTTATCAACATTCTTCTCATATTGAACTCAAAACATAGCACTGTACCAGCTACTAGGAAGACAATTAACTCTATCCCAGCTGAAACCAGGACAGTGATGTAGCAACCTTCCTCCCTTGCTGTGACCCTCAGTTCCTAGCTCACCTTCCCTTGTAAAGCAGCCTGTCCTTCACACCATAGCTGTCAATGGAATACAGTGGGTTTACTCTAGGACTGCCCAGGGAGCTTTTGTACATGGAGAGTGATTTATTTGTAAACCTTGGGCACTTGGTCTTTGCTGGAGCTAAACCAGTTTCACATCAGCTGAAGACCTGATTCTTTGTCCTTAGTGATGCTAAGTTGTTTTGTTCTTTTTGTGAAATGAGATATTTTTCCCAGTGCTTTAAGGATCCAAATTATAAACTGGTTTTATAACCCATTAAGTAAACTGTCCAACTAGTCAAATTGGCTTTGATCCACTGACAGATTTTAGGCTGAGAAGCCTTGCACTTCCAAAATTGTTTTTCCAAGAATGGGATGAATCATACCTGAGGGCTGTCTGCCTCTCTCCACTAAGTCTTGATAGAGCCTAGGTGATCAGACTCATGCAAAATTTGAACGTGCCTATTGGTACAGAAGATGAGCCTCTTCATTTCCACCCCTCTCTGGTTTTGCTTTTTAATGTTGACTTTCTTCTGTTCACACAAAGAGACCTAAAACCATCCAGACATCAAAATGAGGTGCCAAAATAAGGAAACTTACTGTAGGTCATTTCACATCATGATACAACTTGCCCTGTTTCTCTTATTAGCACATACTAAACTTTACATGGGTTAGGTAGTACACAACACTTACTTGCTTCCCTCATATTTCTTGGTTAAAGTTTGCTGAGCAAACACAGAAACTTAATTATTCCAAGTTGGATACTTCACAAGTTATTAAAGGCATCTCAAAGTAGAAACTAGCATCAAGGAGCAATGTATATTTTTTGCCTTCCCTGTACTCTCATTTTCTCAAATACATCCATCATCTCCCACATTACATTATACTATGGGTGTAAAAACAATTTAAGGTTTCTCTTAGCTTTTCAGATAGCTGAGTTTAAGTCTTGGTATAAACTGTAGCAACTGGCTGCCTCCCTGTTATTTCAGCTTAGATGACTGCACTTATCAGTCCTGATATTAGTGAAAGAAACCTTGGTATGTGTGAATTATCTAGCCAAACAGCATTGTCTTTATTGTGGGTGATTATAGGTGAGCTCCTTTAGTGGAAGAAATATTCACTTCAAGGACAGAAGTCATCTCATACTAGCATAGGTTTCAAAGCCTGGTGAACAGATTCATCACCTCAA